TCCGGGAAAGGTTAATGTGGTAGCTGACGCCCTCAGTCGCCGGGCGGAGAGCGCCCCGTTGCGAGATGTATGTTTGCGATTAACAGTGATGAGTCCGGTGTTGGACACCATTCGCGGAGCACAGGCTGAGGCAGTGAGGTCGGAAAACCAGAAGAGAGAGCGAGTTATTAGGTTGGTATCGGAGTTCGTTACCGATGGTCGGGGGCTTATGACTTTTCAGGGGCGTATTTGGGTACCGTTCGTGGGAGGTACGCGTGCCATTTTGATGGAAGAGGCTCATCGGTCGAAATTCTCGATCCATCCTGGGGCCACTAAGATGTATCTGGATTTGAGGATGGAGTACTGGTGGCCCTGTATGAAGAGAGATGTTGCGTGGTTCGTTGAGAGGTGCTTAACCTGCCGTAAGGTTAAGACCGAACATCAGAGACCGCATGGTAAGTTGCAGCCATTGGAGGTTCCCGAATGGAAGTGGGAACAGATCACCATGGATTTCATCACCAAATTGCCAAGGATTGCTCGGGGAGTTGATGCAATTTGGGTGATTGTGGACAGGTTGACGAAGAGCGCTCACTTCCTTGCCATCAGCGAGAGTTCTTCCACAGAGAAGTTAGCAGAGATTTATGTGAGGGAAGTGGTATCTCGGCATGGGGTGCCGATCTCGATTGTCTCCGACCGGGATGTGTGTTTCACTTCCAAATTTTGGAAGAAGTTTCATGAGGAGTTAGGTACTAGGCTGCATTTTAGTACCGCATATCACCCCCAGACAGACGGACAGAGTTAGCGGACGATTCAGACACTCGAGGACATGCTCCGAGCATGTGTATTGGATTTCGGGGGAAGTTGGGACACGTATTTGCCTTTGGCCGAGTTTTATTACAACAACAGAAATCATTCGAGCATCGGTATGCCACCCTTTGAGCTGTTGTATGGGAGGAGGTGTCGGACCCCCATTTGCTGGGGAGAAGTCGGGCAGTGCGTTATGGGCAACACTGAGATAGTACTTCAGACGACAGAGCAGATCCAACAGGTCAGACAGTGGTTACTGACTGCTCAGAGTCGACAGAAGAGTTATGCGGACAGATGCCGGTTCGAACTTGAGTTCCAGGTCGGTGATTTTGTGCTCCTGAAGGTCTCTCCTTGGGAGGGAGTGATCCAATTCAGGAAGAGGGGCAAGTTAGGGCCCCGATATATCGGACCATTTCGGGTAGTCGCGAGGGTAGGCAGGGTAGCCTATCGTTTGGATTTGCTAGCAGAGATGGGCAGATTCACGACACTTTCCATGTGTCACAATTGCGGAAGTGTATAGCCGATGAGTCGGCAGTGGTTCCATTAGAGGATATTCAGGTGGATGCGAGCCTGAATTATGCTGAGAGACCAGTGGCCATCAGAGATCGGAAAATCAAAGTTCTGATGAACAAGGAGGTACCTTTGGTTTTGGTTCAGTGGCAGCATCGGAAGGGGTCCGAGATGACGTGGGAACCAGAGCGTGAGATGCGAGAGCAGCATCCGAAGTTATTTGCAGAGTGAGACTTCGAGGGCGAAGTCTAGTTCTAGTGGGGGAGAATTGTAACAGCCTGGAATTTCTAGGTATTTATTATTGGTTTATTTTTGGAAATTGTGAGTGGACTCGGCGAGTTGGAGCTCAAACTCGCCGAGTAGGATCGCGGTATTGGCCACGGGTTCGCGTCCGGACTCGGCGAATCCAAGAGTGGACTCAGCGAGTCCACGCTATGTGATGAAACCCTAATTTCCGGGGTTTGAGACCTATTTAAAGGGCCTTATGGCCATTATTTTTGCTCACCAATCCATAGAGAGAAACCCTAGAGTGCTTGAGCGTTTTGAGAGAGAAAGGAAGCCATTCTTGACCTTTGTGGTGTTATTTAGCAAGGAGAAGGAGGTCATAACCAAGAGGAAGCATAGGAGATTGCTGTACTGTGGATTTGAAGCTCAGATCTTCGAACTTGAGGTATTATTTCAGCTCATCTTCTATTTTATGAAGTATATTTGGATTTAGGGTTTCTTGTGGCTTTTATTGGGTTGATTTGATGCCAAATAGTCTCTTTCTAATGTTAAGGCTTTGGATCTGGATCCATAGAGGTCCAGAGGGCCTCACTCATCAAGCTTTATGAAGAGCAATGGAGATTATGACCTTCAGTTGTGGTATTTGGGACAAAATCATCATATATGGTCCTATAGATGTTGTATGTACATCAAGATATTGACTTTACATGCTAAATAAGCTTGGAAGGACTGAATCTATGAGTTAATGGACCGGATCTGACCTTAGGAGCGATTTTGAGTCATTGCATGGCGTGGACTCGCCGAGTCCGAAGAACAGACTCGGCGAGTAGCATGAATATTGCCCAGCACCACACATCGAGTGGTCTTGATGAGTTGAGGGTTTGACTCAGTGAGTCAGGGAGAGTCTGAATGGATTGACAGGTGGACTGAGTCAAGCTGGACTCGCCGAGTTGTTCTTGAGACTCCACGAGTTGAGTTGTGGTGGTCCCACAACTCATGCCAGGTGGAACTCGTCGAGTTAGGAGAATACTCGACGTGTCAAGAGAGGATCCCAGGGAAATCAGTGTATGCGCTTAGACTCGCCGAGTCGTTATAGTGCACTCGCCGAGTCCGGTCAAAGTTGACCGTTGACCATTGACCAATGTTGACCTATGTTGACTTGTTAAGGGATAGTCAACCTTAGTTGGGAAAGTGTTAATTAGAGATGTATTGTGTTATAGGAGGACTATAGCTCGGGAGATCGAGCACTAGTGATTTCAGGGATTTTCGAATTACCGAGACACGCGAGGTGAGTCTTCTCACTATACTTTACCTTGAGTAGGTAACCAGAGTTATGTGACAGAGTATTTGTATGCTATATATGTTATGTGTTGTACTGCATTATTTCTATGTGATTTATGATGTGCATGTTTACAGAGTTAGAACCGGAAGGTTCACAGAGTTAGAACCTGAGGGTTCACAGAGTCTGGGTGCACGGACCCACAGAGTTATAGCCTTGAGTGGCTAATATGTGTTATATGTGGTATTTTGGGGAATTCACTAAGCTTTGTGCTTACAGTGTTTGATGTTATTTATTTCAGGTACTAGTGACGACCGCGAGAAGGTGTCGGCTTGATCAGTACACACACTTGGGATTTATGATTTTGAGATCTTGGGATTTTGTATTACTTGGATTGAACGATTAAAAATGGTTGTTTTCTGAATATTAAATGAATTATGTTTTATAAAAATTTGAAAATTTTGTTTTGAAATTTACGGTGTTACAGATAATGAAGCTTCGAGTTCAATAGTTCAAGATAAAGGAAAGAAAATCATTGGTGAAAGTGGAGAAGAAGAAGAGAATGAAGAAACTCGTGAAGTTAAAGAGAGGGAAAGAAAAGATAAAGAAGCCCTTGACATTTTGGAACGAAGAAAATCTCTTTTTCCATTATGAACATTGGAAAAGTTGCTGAAGGAAGCAATTGAGTCCCCACACACTCATTGGCTTGAACTATTCATTTCTTTTGGCTTGGATAATACCAAAGACTCGTACTTTGATATGCCGATCACCTGAAGGATATTTGTTTTTCATTGTTTTGAGCAAATTTCCCCTATTCCTTCTCCTGACCTGAAGGTTAATAGAGAGTTGATTGATTATTACCTTGCTTTCTCGCAACCTCAATTCTAGACCTGGAGTGCAAAGAAGGTTACTACGGTCAAGGTTACGAAGCCAGTTGCCATGGGGAAATTTATCAATGTGAAGTTTTGGCTTACTCATGGTTCTGAAGATTCAGTTCGTGAAATTTCTCTTGCTGACCTGCCAAATCTCAATCCTAATGACTAGATTCTATTGACTAACCATTTGCTGACTAACGAGCAAATACGAACCTATTCTGATCACATAAAGAGAATGTTGGTTTCATACCTACATGAAGTAGCAAAGTTCGATCAGGAGATTGCTTCTGCTTTGAGGAAGAAGCCTACTGTCAAACTCATTGCCAAAGCTAGTGAGGTGAATAAGATGTGTATGGGCAAGATTGACACCAAACATTTGACGGTGATTTTTACTAAATAAATTGGCGGTTCAGCTACTCCATTGAAGTGCCTGTCCGCCTTACCCGACAAACATCTCTTTTCCGCAATCGTTCTTGAACATATTCAGGATATAATAAATAGTTGTAAATCCAATGATGATCCTGCAAAGAAGATCTTCAATGACATGCTTCGGTGGTATATCAACTTTCATCAAACTATTCTTGCTATCATACCGAAGTTATTCAAAACAGTAAAGAAGACTACACAAGCATTACAGTAGTAATCTCTTGCCTCAATTGACGCAAAGAGGGACATTGTTGGGTTAGTAATATTGCATCATTAGGCTTTTTGTCTACAATCCATTGTTTTCACGGTAATGGGCCAGTCCAGCCGTGTTTGATTTATTAGGGTTAGCTTTATATTGTGCATGCATGCACCGTGTATGAGTTAGTTGTTGCTGATATCTTTTGTAACCCTATCACACCTCTACAATAGCAATTCATCAAAGAGTTCTTTTGAGGTTGTGGATTATTAATCATTCGACACCAGTCTTGATTCGTGTTGTGTTCTTAATTGCTTTGTGTTATTCAGTTACTTGTTAAGAATCTCACCGGTCTTAAAGAGTTTTAATCTCATCAAAAACCATGAGAGGTAATAAACTCACATGCCTTAGAGCTCATATTAAATTGTAAATAAATGTTCCAATGGTTGGTCTTAGAAAGAATGTGTTTGTGCTCAATGTTGAATGAATATGAGAAGAAGAAGAAGTGAACGTGCCTATGTGTGTTGGTCGGCTAGTCTTTGATAAATAACAATAATAACTAAAACTTTCGATATTCTTGGGATTTTCCTTGATCTTTATTTGACCTAGCTTTCTCTAAAGTCTTCAATGTTCATGAGGCATTAACCATATGTGGTTGACTTGACCTATTTCTTTTTCCTTAAGCTTCAAGTATATTCACAATATTTTACAAGAAAATGATGACAATCCAAGATTCTGATTACATCTAAGATCTTGGGCTTGCGTGGGATCTCAATGATTTTGAAGAAATAAATGGCTGATTCTACTCCTATCCCGGATCTCACGAACAATTACATCTCAAACTTCTCTTTATCGCCCAGCTATTTTACATTTGCCGGGGCAGGTGTAGTCCCAGATTATGACGGGGAGTCGATAATTGATGGCCATGAAGTCGATTTTCTTAGCCAAACCCGACAATTTGATAAGCCGTCATCTTCAGGTGAGTAGAAGTTAAAATCCAGCTAATCAGGTGTTTTGGTTAAATGATAGTTAATAATCTTTACCGATTGTAAACTATACAGATGATTCTGAATATGTTCTTGATATTCTATACAAGAGGCAGAATGAGGTGAATATAAAGAGTGCATTTTCTATGGCTGCTAAGCCTTCTTTTAATGGGTTAATTCAGTTTTGGTCACCCCTACAAAGCAGCAGCAGACATGTACTTACAACCAGCGATCAACCTTTTATGCTACAATCAAGTCTCGAGAAACATAAGGTATATCTCAAGAAGCACAGATCATGTTCCGAAGAATATCAGTATAATATTGCTGCGGATCAACTTGAAGTTGAAGAGGATCCCACAATCATAAGTGGTGCGCCAGCTAATGCATTCCGATCTAAATTGGCAGAGGTAGTTCCGAACCTTAGGGTTCAAGCGGGGAGTCCATTGGTGTATTCTGCTTTGGAGTGTGAATTAATGTCTTATTTTGTGTTGCCTATTTCTAGTCAGTCTCAAAGCCAATGTGTCCTTGGCGTCGTTGAGTGTTGTACCAAGGACTTTGACTGTCTTCTAGAAATGTTAGGTTACTTGGTTGATGCACTAAAGGTAGGGTTACAACTTACAAACCTTCTACTAATATATTTGGAGAATCTCAGTACAACTGATTTATCATATAAATTTATATCATTTAACTTTTAGAATTTTCATTTCGTGAAATCAAGATGTAATTTTGGAACGAACTTAACTTTTAGAAACTACATGTTTCCTTGTTGTAAATTTCCAGAAACCATAGTTCTGTGTGGTCCAAATTCTTATTTTAACTGGTTAATGATGACAGTATTTAATCTAGTTGTTCTTCTCTCTTTGTAGATAATGGGTCTGAGTACGTTCCATACAGAGGGTTTGCTGTGCCAGGTAAACATTTAAAAAAAAAAAAATTGTGCAATATAGTTCTTCTGTATTAAAGTAAATCGCCATCTATTAGACCAGAAATATCACTCAGATATTGCATTGAATACATTAGGGCTTTTGCATGGTTGGTTTTGTCCCTGTGACTATTTTTTGTTCATTAATGTCCAAAATTTGCAAGGTTTTTTTTTTTTTTTTTTTGTCATTTTCTCCCTTGCTACATATAATAGTAGCTGTCCAGAGACAAAACCAAAAAAAAATTAACAAAATTAAGAGCTTTCATGTCAAATTTAGAAAACATAATTAGGATAGAAACATATAAGATTTGTAAAATTTAGGGGTTTTTTTGCAAATTTGAAAAACAAAATTAGGGTAAAAACATAAAAGATTTATAGAAAGGACAAAATTAAAAAAAACTTGGCAAATTTTGGACATTAACAAACAAAAAATCGTTATATGGACAAAACCAACAAAACCTGATAAACTTAAGAACTTTTATGTCAAAAGCCCAATATATTATCATGTGTTTTTTTTTTGTTTTGTTTTTTTTTTTTGCGACAATAAAAGTGTCATCTTCCCATCTCAAAATTCAGTCGAATACAAACAAGATAAACGCATCAACATTGACTATCACTTTTTGCATTACAAGTTACCTATGCAAAGCTTAAAGTTCAATACCTTCCCTCTCACTTGAAGCTTGTTGATGTTTTACCGAAGGCTTGGCAAGACCATTATGTCTATTTTTCCAATCAAAGGTTTGATTTGGTCCAAACCCGACGTTTGGTTTAAGGGTGACGTTAGCCCATAGTCTTTTTATATATCTTTATTTTTTAGTTTTAGGCTACATTATATATTCTTTATGATATACCCTAATAGTTTCTCTATTTGTATGAAATTATTTAATCACCTATGTAAGGGTGATATTCTCCTTATTATCACAATGTGAACGTATTTTCAAATATGTCATTCCCTTTTACTTTGCTGCCTTGTTACTAGAAACTAAATGAATGTTAACACTGCATGTATGTTCGTAAACAGACTAAAGATGGTCTCAGATGTACCATGGATGACATGGTTGAAATTGAAGCGGCATTAAAAACAGCATGTATTTCACATGAATTAACTCTTGCTCAAGTTTCTATTGCTTACGAGGACACTAATGATATGCCTAATTCATTTTCTTTGGAGGGGAAACATATGACACAAATGATGGCACACAAAATGATTGGGCGTTGCCCTGATTCAGACGATTATGATTTTAAGGATTATTGTGGTACGTGTGATATGCTTCCTTCGAAAATAGGGGAAGGACTTGTGGGGAAGGCAAATGAAAATTACATGCCACACTTCTGCAGAAACATTTATGTGATGAATAATAAGGAGCTACCCACTTTAATTGAAACGATTACTATTAAAAAATACAGCTGCCTTGTGATATGTTTGAGGAGCACCATGAACGATGTTTATGTTCTTGAATTTTTATGGCTCCAAAATCGAAAATATACTGTCTTGATAGAGTCACTGGTATTAACACTTAAGAGGTGTTTGCCAAATTTCAAGTTTGCTTTTGGTGGAGAACTTGGTGATGAATTACTTGTTGTAGAAGTAGGAAATTCTTCCACAGCTGAAAGTGGTAGTTTCAAGATTTTTAAAGGAGTGAAATTATCACAAATACATGAAATGATGGAAAAAGAAAGAGAATATGTGGCTGAGCAATGCATAGCACCTCCGCAGGAAAAAGGCAACACAAGCCGACATTTATTGACTAAAGAGCTCATTGAACAACAATATGGAAAGCCCCAGAAAGAAGCTGCAGAAATCCTCAAAGGTAATTATACCATATATACTATATTTCAAAATAAAACTCGCATTAAGTTATCCAAATGGAGATGGAATTGAGTTATTTAGATACATATTACATATATCTCATTTGCTACAAAACGTGTAAGAAAATTTCACATTTTTAATCAATGACCATTGCTCTTTTTTCTTGATATTGTGTTACAGTTTCCTTATCTACATTAAAACGCGAGCGCAAGGAATTAGGGCTTGGGGACTGGGTAGGATCGAAGGGTGTGAAGAGAAAGGCAAACCGTTCATACAAGGATCAAAGTAACATGATTAATAAAGAAGACAACAGAGAACTACTTCGACCAGTGCCTCACAATGGAGCTACCCTGACCATAAAAGCATATTATCAAGGTACTCCGATCAAATTTCGTCTCCCACTTTTACGAGTAAAATTTAAATATGTTCAGAAGAAAATCGGCAATAAGCTGAAGTTGGATCCTGGTAGTTTCAAGCTCATGTACAAGGATGATGAAGATGACGAATATATTTTATTGGTTTCTGATGAAGACATCACGGATTGTATCGAAAGTTCTACAAATGTAAACCGCACTACCATTAAGTTGTATGTGCAATATCCTATTTAAATCACACCATTGAAGTAAGTTGTGATAGGAAAGACGAAAAAAGGCAAGTTAGAAGGAGAGGCGGTTGATGTTGTTTGACTCTACTTATTATTTTCCTAATCGAAAAAATTTAAGATGCGATCATGACTAGATAAGAGCATACATTACAATGCGTTGATGCTTTCTACTTTTTAGAGCATCCATTAAGATACATTGATGTTTTTTAGAAGTCCAAATATATAATATGATTGGTTTGTATGGTCGTGCTTGTGGCTACGTCAACGAGATAGGTCCCATCTGTAGTTTAGTTTTAGAAAAATAACTGCAAATTTTAGAACGAATTCTCTGTTTGTATAAGCTCTTAATCAATTACTGAATGTTTCTACCCGAATTTGAATTTTTATGTCAATTGTAGAAAGCAAACCGGCATGCAAAAAGTGGCGTTGATAAAGAAATCAACACGTAAATATCTTTTACATATACTAATATTAAATCTTATTGGTCATTATTCTAAAATATTTAAATATTTTTATGCGATTTAAAATAAAAAGTTATTTTGAACAAATTTACTAATTTGAAATGAATTCAATTATCTAAAACGAAATCTGGTTGGATACAACTGAAATGAGAAATTAATAGGTACAAAACTTAATTATATTAAAAACTTCAAGTCATTTACAACAAGTCCGCAAAAGAAAAAAAAAAATAGTTCGTTGCTAGGAAAAAAATAAGTCAAGCCATTTCGTTGTTATTTTAATGTAATTTTTTTATTTATTTAAATACGAAAATAAAACAAAGGTATACATACATATTACTTGTGCTAGATGTGGAAAGCAACGTTAGTAATATATGATTCTAAATTCCACTATATTTTTTCGGAGAAATGACAAAAATGTCCTAATACTACTAGAATAAAGGCCTATAATAAAATTTGAATTATGACACGTACTACATATATGACACACATTTTTGCGTATCCTAAAAAAGGTCATCTCTTATAAAATTTTATGGACTTGGGACATGCATTTATGCATATCCTAAAAAATGGCCTCCCTTTATATTGTATTTATGTACATGCGGTCTACATATTGTAACATCCCGGAATATCAAGAGTAGAGTTGAAGGGCTAAAAGTGAAAATGCATAAGGGCAACTCGGCGAGTCCATGTGAGGACTCGGCGAGTAGGGTCACGACTCACGCCGCGTGTTAAGTGGCCAACTCGGCGAGTCCAAGGCTGGACTCGACGAGTAGGCGCTGTGTGAAGAAAACCCTAAATTCGGGGGATGAGCCCTTTATAAAGGACATTATACCCTCTCCCCAGCCTCTTTGCTCTCCCTTGAAGTCCAGAAACCCTAGATACGCGTTTGTGAAGGTTTTGAGAGCATTTGATCATTTGAAAGAAATTTGGAGGAAGATCTTGGAGAGTTAGGAGGCTTGGTGCAAGGGGCTTTGCTTAGATTCGTATTCCTTGCTGTTGGGGGCTTCATTTTGAGGTAATATCTCGTTCTTGGGCTGTGTTCTTCTAGATTCATCATTTTGGGGTTGTGTGGGAAGCTTAGATTGTGGTATCTTGAGTTTGAAGGATAGATCTGAGGTTGCTACCTCAGATCTGAAGTGGAGGAGGTTTAGAGTGCATTAAAGTCCCTATTATTGAGTGATTGGTGAAGCTATCTTGTCCCAAACCCTAGCCCTAGAATGTAAAATGCATAGATCTCTTTGGATTCACGTAAAGTTTGCCACTTTACGTGATGGATGGGTTGTATAAGGGTGGATTCACTACTAGAAAAACAGCCTTTTACGACGCTCATTGCGCGTCATAAAGGGATCAGACGACGCGCAAATGCGCGTCAAGGAAGGCCCTGTCATAAAGAGAGACGACGTGCTTTTGAGTGTCGTCTATAGACGACGCGCATTTACGACGCTCATTTACAACGTGAAATTACGACGCGCGTTTACGACACGCAATGCGTATCAAGGAAGGCCCTGTCATAAAGGAAGACGACACGCATTCGCGTGTCGTAACCTTACGACACGCATGTTAATGACACGCAATGCGTATCAAGAAAGCCCCTGTTAAGAAAGGCCATGTCATAAATGAAGATGACACACATTTTGGCGTATCATAATTTTAAATGTTTAAAAATATATTATTTATAGATTTACTAATTTTCAAATTAAATTTGGATTCAATGTCTCGTAATAAAAGATAAAATATCATATACAAAAAAGTACAATCCATTACATAAAGTTTAATTTCATACAAATAATCGTTCCACGGAAAGATAAAACAAATCAATAGAAGTATTTACAAACTAATATTTCTAATAACTTAATGTTTGCCTCACTGTAAACAAGATTTATAGCAAATTTAATTATAACTAAGGAAGGATCCCACGTTGCTGTGGTTACAAAATGGACAATTTTTTCTTATCAGGACATTGTAGTTTGAAAAACCTAATTAATTACATATAAAGATCACACAAAGAGTTCAAGGTTGCACACCTTCAAGCAGTTTCTCATATACCTATCAGCCTTTCAAATCTTCCACCTGTTCCACAATATATTCATCAAATTCATATGATATATCTATCTTTATTATACTATAAAATACTGAAAGATAAAATTCAAAATAAAGAAATAAAATTTACAAAAAATTTGTTTCAACTCACCACAAGAAGCTTGCACTTGCTGTTCCACCCTCTCTGAAGTGTCATCTTACCTACTCTCAAACCTGACACCTAAACCAACACATCGCATATCATCATATTCTTCACCTACACAATTTAAAAAATTAAATAACATCATCAACATTCACTCCTACCAAAAAATATAAAATAACAAAATATAAAAATATAAAAAACGAAACAAACATTCCCCATAAATTCCAAAACATCATTGTTAGCTTCCCCACATGCTGCAGGTGCAGCCACAGTAACTCTAACATCATCAACATTCACTCCTACCAAGAAAGCAGAAACAAAAATAACCTCAAAAACCAAGAACTGAAAGCCTTAAAGGAAAGAAAAAAAGGTTTAACCTATTTTTTATAAAATTACATGCGGTAATTACTACATACAATATATTAATTAACCGAAAATTTCTACAGTTCAAAAAACAGCTAAAAATCAAGTGAAAAAAAAAAAAGTTGAACTCAAATTCTTCGATCTGCTATATATTTACCTCCTAATCCTCCACTACCTGTATCCCAATATCCAGTTGTTGAGTCTTCCAATTTTGGAATCCATTGCCACATATTGCTTGTTCTTCCATCGTTTGATATTTGATTAATTTGTGAAAATAACCTGCAAAAATCAATCCATCATACCATTAAACTTTCAAAGCATGTAATCTCAACAACAATTAACTCCAACTAAACCATCAACAATGATCACAGGATAACAAAAAATTGACGAAAACTATTGAGATGCCCAAAAGAAAATAGCAAAAAACATATATAGTAGATCTTCTTGGTAAATAATCAAGTGACCAAATGATTGAGGGGATATTAACCTTGAATCCAACTGGAAGCAGTATTGACTTTCTTTCAAATGAATTCAAAGTTTTCAATTTTGAGGGTATATGATTCCAATCAAGAAATAGAAAACAAAACTCTGCTTTAATGGTGAAGGCAACTGCTGTCAAGCTGATCTTGCAACTAACCTGACTATATCAAAGACCGGTAAAAAATGTTAAATTTAATAATTTCATGTAAATTGTAAAAAAAAAAAAAAAAGCAAATAGGACAATATGCTTTATGATTTTTTTTAATATAGGCAATATACTTTGACAGATGAAAACAATTTACCTATGTAATATGTCATGATCAAGAACCACCTGTTTCCTAGAATAGTAATTTTTTTAAACATTTACCAAAAGTTAGGGTTTGAATTCGATTAAGAAATGTAAATTTATGAATGAGCTTTAGAATCCAAAGGCCAACTTTCACTTTCAACACATGAGTGTAGTTGTAACGTTATAGAAATATTATACTAATATGTGAGTGATTCTAATTATATGATACATTCCTTGGTAGATCTTATAATCACGTCAATACCTTGTTAATATGACAAATAAATAGGTTTAGAGAAAAATTTTACAACTCTTTGGATTTATTATAAGCTTCAAAGTATGTCGTTTCCAATATTCCATTATAGAACTGTGGTTCCAATTATTTAGACCTAGGATGCTACAATTTTTAGAATTTAGAATTTGGTAAATTGTTATATCATTATTCTATTTTTTAAAGAATTTCATACAAAAAACCTTGAATTATATAAATTACAATAGAGCATATTTATAAAGTCGGATTTATGAGACAGAAAAAATCAATACGTATCAATTTGATTCACATCAGTTTTGATTAGTATAATACGTACACAAATCAACTATCAAGTTTAGTCAATATGTATATATTGTTCCTTTAAGTCAAATTTTTAGTGCTCTTTTCGTATATAGATCAATCCTATTGGCAGTTGTTTTTTACTTTAAGTACAAAATTGGCGTAATCTAAAATCGATTTTAATTAATTTAATTTCATTTACGTATAGTTCTTTCTGTATAAGAAAATTAATTTTAAGAAAGGATTATGAGCAATTTATGAATTACTGCAACAAAAATTAAAGTAAACCATCACATATAACATTATTTTCGGAAAATTCTAATTCATGTGATGTTTTTCTGCATTTTCATATATAGATTGTTATTTGTCATATAATATTAAAAGCAATTAAAATGATTCATAAAGTTATTGATACTCATGTCATAACTAAAAAGTAAAAACTTTTTCACTCTTGAGAATAAAAAAACAACTTATACTCATTTGGGTAGAGGGAATAATTTTTTAGAAATTTAAAACATACATATAAAAGAGAGATATAGTTTAATATGGGATTGAGGCATAGTATGTTTATATAACATTAAGGAAGTGAAGCTTTTAGTGTGTGTGTGTGTGTGTGTGTGTGTTTGTGTTTGTATGTGGCATGACTGTGCCTCATGGTAGTTTGTGAAAGGTGAATAAAAGAAGAGGAAGAAGCACAAAAGAAAGGAAAGTAGAATCACCTCAATTTGACTCTAAAGGAATCTTATGTAACCAATAGCTTCTAACAACACAGAAGCTGTGTCAGTCTGCATATATGATAAGAAAACTGGAGGGCTCCAAAAC